CACGGTTAGGTTCAGGGTATGATGCAGTACAAAGGGAGGCCTGTGGATGGGGGTCCCAGTAAACACAGGGAAGGCAGATGACTGCGAGCCTCTTAGCTCTCCATAGTTTTACCTGGTCTGTACCTAAACTACTACATGTGCTACTATCCCAGCTCTTTGTCCACTATCACCACTGTAGAAGGAACCTGAAGTATCGTCCCTGTGGGGAGGAAAGAACCTGGTGGCATTGCTTTCTACAAAGCGTTGTGTTCCTCCAAGGAAGCTCTGGTCATGGCTTGCTATCCAGCTGAATTCTGGGGACTTGCCCCAGCGGAGGCTGGCTGCTCCCAGGGACCTTTGACTTGGTACTGATACAGCCCCCCTTTGCATTCTAGGTTGTGAGATTTGAGAATATTCTGTCTTCCATTCTTCACTTCGGAGTCCTCCCACTGGCCAACAGTAAGGGTTTCTTTAAAAAATTATGAGACTCTGGTATTGGTTACGCTTTGGGTTTTGTTTGGAACGTTTACCCTGATGCCTGCATGTTTAGAGTGCCATTGTAAATTTGGGTCAGAGACAGAACTTTTCAGTGTACAGCATTAAGAGCTGAAGGAACCAGTTAACAGGATTTTGCTTGCTAGCAGCAAGAATTACAATTTTTAGCAAGAAATGTAGCTTGGCTTGAGTTAAAGGGATAAAATTTCTGTCTCCTCCAGGTCCACTAGAAATGATATTATTCTCTATCTTAGTTAGGGTTTTACTGCTATGAACAGACGCCATGACCAAGGCAAGTCTTATAAAGACAACATTTAATTGTGGCTGGCCTACAGGTTCAGAGGTTCAGTCCATTATCATCATGGTGTAAAGTATGGCAACTTCCAGGCAGGCATGGTGCAGGAGGAGCTGGGAGTTCTACATCCTGATAGGACTGCAGCCAGGAGAGACTGTCTCATAGACAGCTAGGAGGAGGGTTTCAAAGCCCACCCCCATAGTGACACACTTCCTCCAACAAGGCCACACCTCTTAATAGTGCCACTCCCTGGGCCAAATATATTCAAACCACCACAGGGATAGAAGTAAAAATTGACACTGAGGTTATTATCTTCTGCCCCCTCACATGCATGTGCACACACACACATATGTATATATGTATATACACATACATATTATATGTATTATATATATCTTCTATGAATATGTAGAAAATGAGAAGCATAGTCAAGCGTAGTTACTACTTAAATGAGAGAAAACAGAAAGTGTTTGTTTTGTTCCAGTATCCAAATATTCATAATTACGGATACTCTTTTAATGAATGTAAATTAATTACTAATTTTTCAACCAAGTGCTAGGGACATATCAATGTGAAGAAGAACAGTGATAGGATTAACGTATAGAAAAGGCTTCTAGTTCATCACTTTGTAAAATGTCTGCCAAGAAGTCTGTGCTGGTGCCCAATTAATTACCGCACATCTTTTTTTCTACATTGTAGCAAAACTGCAGCAAGGATTTCCTCTACCCAACCCCTACAATATCTCATTCATCAATTCTGATATTGAAGTTCTTGAGGTAAGACTCTGAATCTCTTCTTCACTACTTATTTTCACAGTAGAGCAAGCTTTCTGTTTTATTGCCTATTTTTAAAGATTTATTTATTTTATTTCATATGGATATGTATATGCATGGATGTATGCATTTATGCCATATTTATACTGGTTCCACACTAAAGATTCCCCTAGACAAACTATAAGGCTGAAATTGTGAATCTCATTTTATGAATAAAGAAAGTAGACCCAAAAAAGTGTAGTGTCTTGGAAAGGAAAATGGGTGGTATATTAGTCATTTCTCTTCTTGCAGTGACTAAATGTCTGACAGGATACAATTTAGAATTTAGGAGAGAAAGTGCTTTTGTTATTGTTGTTGTTTTATTGTTTGTTTTTGTTGTTGTTGTTGTTGTTTTGTTTTGGCATATAGCTCAAAGGGATACAGTCCACCACAGCAGGGAAAGGTGTGGCTAGAGAAACATCAGATACCTGGTTCCATTTCCTAGAAGTCAGGAAGCAGTGTACAGGAAATAGACCAAGCCATAAAACCTGAAGACATACCCCACTGACCCACTTCTTTCAGCAAGATTTCACCTCCTAGGCACCACAACTTTCCAGAGTAGTGTCACGTGCTGGTGGCCAAGTTTCTAAACACATGAGGCTGAGGAATATTTTGCATTGAAACCATGACAGCTAAGCACTTGATTGGTTCTTTGACACTTTCAGCCAAATGAACTTCAAGGCCTTCCCCTGAAGATCGTCCTCAGGATGCGGCCTACTGAAGGCTGCTTCCAGGGAGGGTCTAAGTTACTAACTTCATGGCACTGCTGCCCTTTCTTCTCTGCATTTTGTTGTTGTAGTTTGGGAAAGTAGAAATAGGTTTCAGAAAGCATCTCCCACCTGCATACTGGTGCACACGTCCTCGTGCTCCCAGACTCCCTCTTCTCCTCTCTCCACTATCTAAATCATATCTGAGGGCAGTAATCCAACATGGCCAGCCACTTCCTGCATTAGGGGCCAGCCACTTCCCGCATTAGGGGCCAGCCACTTCCTGCATTAGGGCCCTCATACAGGGTACAGGGGGTTGAGAAAGACTTGATGCTTTAGGCCATGGCAAAGAAACTTCCCTCCCTTCATGCAAACCCAGATATGGCCTTAATTTAAAATTGTCTTCATTCTGCATTCCTCTCAGGGTTTCCTTCTGATTTCTACTGACCTGGCACATGAAACATCCTCAAAGCCACAGTCAAATCTCCACAGCTGGGGAGGTCTGGACCTGGTACATGGACCATGGAGAGAACAGCCAACTCACTGATGGCCTGTTCACAATCCACCCCAGGAAGTAAACAGCCTTCAGTCCCACAGAACCCATAAACCTGGAAGATGAAGGCTGTGCATCCTGGTTATTAAAGCCCTCGTGAAAATGGTCTCTCTCTGGAGCCCTAAGAGACCTATTGTGAGGCCGACTAAGTTAAAATGCTGAACAGGCACAAGGCTGTGGGAGTGGGGTCTGTGTGCGTGAGCATATGTAAGCATGTTGTGTGCCTGTGCTTATCATTTGTGGGAAAGAGTGAGGCGTGTGGATCCGTCCAGGTGGGTAAGGAGCTTGTCCGTATTTGCATTGGTAAGGGTGTGTGTGTGTGTGTGTGTGTGTGTGTGTGTGTGTGTGTTCGCGGGCGCGCGCACAAGACTATGTCTGCTCTTTAGAGACTTTCTACTTTCATTGGACTTTATGTTTACTATTACTGTCCTATGCTTAATTAAAGTTGTTTTCTAGCCGGGCAGTGGTGGCGCACGCCTTTAATCCCAGCACGTGGGAGGCAAAGGCAGGCATATTTCTGAGTTTGAGGCCAGCCTGGTCTACAGAGTGAGTTCCAGGACAGCCAGGGCTATAAGAGAAACCCTGTCTCGAAAAACCAAAAAATAAAATAAAGTAAAATAAAATAAAGTTGTTTTCTATCCATGTCAGTATCTGTGTGTGAAAGCTCTTGTCCTGAATTTATTTTAATAAAATATGACAGAAAATGGAAGAGACTTGATTTTTTTAACTTTGACAAAGACTGAAGTTCTACAAATACAGTATTAAAAGGGAGCCGAGAGCCTCTTAAATCTTTCCTAGGGTCATCCTGTGTCATTTGTTTAAGTTTGTGATGTGTCCTTTCAAAGACTGGATGAAATGAGAGCTGAAGAGATGTCTCACCAGTTAAGAGCACTGACTGCTCTTCCAGAGGTCCTGAGTTCAATTCCCAGCAACCACATGGTGACTCACAACCATCTGTAACGGGGTCTGGTGCTCTCTTCTGGTGTGTCTGAAGACAGCTGCAGTATACTCACATATATAGAATAAATAATTCTTTTTTAAAAAAATTGGCTGAAATGGCAGTGCAGCTTACTAAAGCTAGGCACTTGGCAGTTAACATTAGGGTGAGACTACACGGGGAACAGGAGGGTGGGGACAGCCAGGGTGGATATATAAAAATAAAAAGAAACCACACCCTTCGTTTAACTCCTTAGGTTACTAGGGGGATGGAAAACTGTGTGAGGACTTAACACCCCAGTCCGGTACTCCTCCAGTTTCACTTCTGTGGCCTTCAGAGCCACTCTAGGAAGAATTGTGATCCCATGTCATTGAAGTGAAAACAGAGGAATGTATCACACAAAGGTGGTGATGGCACAGGTGAAAACTGATTGCTACGGTGGTGTTCTTCACAGGTTAGGACTATCCTGCAAATCACTGCAAGCTCTCTTAGCCCCAGAGCAAGCGCCAACTCAGTTTAAAGGTACAGTCATAGGACACACTCCAAACAAAGCTGGGCTGTGAAACACAATGATTCCCAGCAACTGGAATTTATTCATCTTTGCAGGGCATTGCTGGCTAGAGCAGATTTCCTCCTTAAGCATTTGTAGGAATAAATGATACACTGTCATGATATGCTTCTTTGGGATACTCTTTTTGTAATGGAGAATGTTTGTTGTATATCCTCAATTTCATTCTGATACACTACAAACATCAAATGTGTCGCTCATTAGTATTTTATTTCGCTCAGCTGTTTTACTAATGGGGGCATGGACTCCAGACTATATATACTATATAGCAGTTGACCTGATCCAGAGTGAAGGGGGTTCAGGAGCTGCTCAAAAACATTCCCAAGCAGCATGTCTTCAATAGCAGCAGTCAGGAGACACTGGCAAGTGTATCTCTGAGAGTTCGAGGCCAACCTGGATATATAGCGAGTTTCGGGCTCACTGAGGCTAAATAGCGAGACCTTACTTTAAAAAAAAAAAAGGAAAGAGAGAGAAAGAAAGGAAGGAAGAGAAAGAAAAAGAAGGAAGAAAGGAAGGAGGGAAAGAGGAGAAAAAAAGTCCAAGAGAAGACTAGTGCTGTAGTCCAGTCGCGCACTACTCGCGCGATGAGTTTTGAGCCTCGGCGCTTGCCTTCTTCCCTCCTGGGTCGGAGCCGGTCGCGCCTGCGCCCTGAGAGGTGGCGCTGCGTGGAGCGGGTAGACAGCGGGTGGCGTCTCTTTCTAAGCGTACCCGGGAGCTATCGCTAGCCTCGCCGCCAGCATGAGTCGTAACTACAACGATGAGCTACAGTTCTTGGACAAGGTCAATAAAAACTGCTGGAGGATCAAGAAGGGCTTTGTGCCCAACATGCAGGTGAGTGGGGACAGCGGCCTTCGGAGCTACAGGCCGCGACTCCGCCGCGAACCGGCCTTCTCCGCCCAGCGCGCGGCGGGGCGACCCCTGCAGAGTTGCGGGTCTCCCTTCCCAGCTCCGACCCGCAGACCCCACGCGCCAGGTCCACACACACGAGGACAGACGCAGCGGGGGCCTCACGCGTGTTTTCCCCACGCACGGTCAGACAGGATGTGTTCCTGGTTTCCCGACATTTCTGTGGACTTTTCCCAAGTTAGCACCGCTAGCTTGGAACTCCGTTTCTCTTGAGTCATGGTAGTTATTTAGGTAACGTTTACAGATGGCATTCTCTAAACTTAACTGGTTTTTAACATAACAACAGTCGGCAAGACTCAGGCTTTTAATATGCTCTTCGCGAAGGGACCCTAAGGATCAGTTGGTGGGTGACCTGTCTGTACCCATCTAGGAAGACAGCCCTCCCTGACTTCGTGTCCAGTCCACTTCTCTTTCTCATCCTGGAGGCTGTGTTTCAGCTGAAGTCTTGGGAGCCAGAGACCAGGATCTGAAACCCTGGGCTTGCTGTCTCCACCGCCGTTTGTACTCAAAAGTTCTGTTAAAAGTCGAGGAAGAAAACACTTGTGAGGTTTTGGCAAATGTGTTAAGTGACACAGTCCCTTAAATGCCATGAGAATGCAATAAAGGTTTGCGGTCCTTTGTCTTAGTAAAAAGTTCCTGATAGGCTTCAATTGGTGGCTCGGGACTATAACCCCTGGAGGCTGGGAAATGGAAGATTCTATGTGAGAGGACAGTTTATTATATGAAGCCAACTAGAGCAACGTTAATAAGACACTCTCAAAAAACACAAAATTTTGCCAGAAGTAGTAATACATGCCTTTAATCCCAGCACTCAGGAGGCAGAGGTAGGCAGATCTCTGAGTTTGAGGCCAGCCTGGTCTGCAGAGTGAGTTCAGGACTTGTTGTACAGACAAACCCTCACGCACACACACACACACACACACACACGCACACACACGCACACACACGCACACAAAACTTCCTTTTGCACCACTTTGCAAGGTACTAGAGAGAAAAAGTCCACAGCGGTGACACAGTATTTTCTTTTGTTGTGTGGAAGAAGGGAAGGATGGTTAGTAGAGTCACTTGCTAATTTTTTAATTGACACATGAAAATTGTATATTAATATCCATATATATGATGCTTTTTTTTTTATAATGTGTAAGTTATATAATAGCAAAATCATGGTAGACATACCTCCTCACAAATTTGTGAGCAGTTTTTCCAATTTGGAGATAGTTGATTAGATTTTACTGGTTGAACATTCCCAGTTTAAACCCAGGTCTAAAATGCTCTAAGATCCTTCTAGTTGGTGATTGGAAGCTTTTCTCTTAAAAGAAGTACTGTGGTAGCTTCATGCAGAACGAAGCACTCCACTACATGTAGCATATACATGCTGCCCGGTGGGCATGTGCTTGAGGAACTTGGTTCAGACAGTGTGTTTTGCTTTTCTTCTGTATCAGGTTGAAGGAGTGTTTTATGTGAATGACGCTCTGGAAAAACTAATGTTTGAGGAATTGAGGAATGCCTGTCGAGGTGGTGGTGAGTACACTGCAGAGTCACTCGTGGCACAGGTAGAGCCTTCCCTGCTCTCTGCATAAAGAGGAGCTCAACCAGTGGGAAATACTCTTAAGGAGTGATCTAGACTTGAATCAAAGCACCTGTTTATTAGTGATTACATGCTGGGGCATGCTGCTGTATAAAGGGTTGGAACCCCGGGCTTGTTCTCAAATAACTGCACACAGTAATAGCCAGTGCTGCTGTTCATCCTGCACTCACTGTGTGTCAGGCACCTCATTAGATACTCTATACTGATTGTCCATGTCATGTTTGTAATAACTAAAAGGAGGATATTGTCTGTCTTTTGTAGAATTCCAAAATGCAGTGAGTTTAAGTGAATTTTAACTTGTCCTTAGTCACAACTTCATAGTGACAGAGCCAGAATTCAAATCTCAAAGTGCCTTATTTTCAAACCAGTACTCTTTTTTATTTTGGGGGGAGGGAACTTCTCAGATAGGTTTCTTTAATGCTGTACTGTAAAGGGTACTTAGGTAAGTGTACAGCAATGTTCCATGTTCCCGTTGAACACAGCTTGCTTAGGTTTATCTGAGTTAGCACAATTCATCTTGAGTGGAATCAGAGAGTAGTTAGTGGTAGCCAAGAGCAGTTGCAGGGCTGGAGCCTTTAAGCGCTTTCCTTCTTTTATCAGCACTCCTTATTTTATAAAGGATGAAGGTCATTGACCCCGTTTCTACCCAGATTTCCTGGTAAACCTGGGTATAGTAGGGTTTCATGGGGACCCACTCATTCTTAATAAGCCTTTGAAGCATCTCAGTAGGACCAAGCCCACAGGCCACACCAGATTCCACAGCAGACTGGGCAAAAGGCAAAACCAGTAATCTTAACTGGTGTACTAGCTTTAGTGAACATCAGGATTGGTACCTGATTCACACGGCTGCAGGGTGGTTTCGAGATAAAGGTGTAGTGCTCTAAAATGAGACTCTTAAAGTGCTGGCAGAATAGAATCTTTTATCCCTTTTCATTTTTAGATTAGCAAAACCAATCCCTTCTTCCTTGCTTGAATATGTTGACTTGTGTTACATGGCACTGCTGAAGGCTTTGGCTGTGGCCCAGTGAGTACAGTGCCAGCTGTGTAACTGTGAAGACCTGAGTGGGGGCCCCTTCACCCATGTAAAGGCCAGGTCAGGGGACCTCTGGCACCTCAGTACTTGGTGGGGAAGGGAGACAGGCAGATCTCCAGAGTTTTCTGGTCAGTCAATGTAATCAATAATTGAGGCTCAGATTCAGTGAGAGACCCTGCCTCAAAAAAAATAAGGTGGAGAGCTAGAGAGATGGCTTAAAGGAAAAAGTACTTGTTACACAAGCCTGGAGACATGGGTTCAGTTCCTAGAACACATGTAAAATAGGAAGGTAGAGCTGGCTCCTCAAAGCTGTCCTCTGACCTCCCTATGCATGCACACATACAGTGAGTAGATCCTAGGAAACACTGGTGATCTGTGGCCTCCACATATATGCACACACACATTATTTTTTTAAAAAGGAACTTCAAGCACTTGGGAAAGCTGGACTTGTCTTCCATCTGCCCTGACTCTCAAGTCATTGTTTGGGTTCCCTGGCTCTTCCTCTTTGCCCTTCTTTGTCATTTAGATTAACACCACTGCTGAGTCAGTGTAGTTTTCTTGATCCCCTGAGACTGGAGTTACAGATGAGCTGCCATGTGGATGCTGAGACTTGAACCTGGATCCTCTGCAAAAGCAGCCAGTACACTTAAGCAACCAGTACTCTCAACCACTGAGCAGTCTCTCCAGCCCCACTGTTAATATTTTTAATAGCTACTGTGAATTACTGAATGAGTACATTTTATACTGGCAACATAAAGATTCAGAGTTAATGGTTTTTGTCCCTACTACATTAACAAGCCAGCTTCTTACACACAGAGAACGCTGGCAGGCATGTCAGACTGTCCTGTCCTTCTGTGAATGTGCTTTATCTTGAAGTTCTCTGCCCACTTCCATTTCAACTTCTCCACTCTGTAACTGTAACTACTGCCTCTTCATGTATGTAACTAGCGTTGAAAATCAGATGTGTCATTTTTCTGTTTTTTTTGGTTTTTTTTTTTTTTTCAGGTGTTGGTGGCTTCCTGCCAGCCATGAAGCAGATTGGCAATGTGGCAGCCCTGCCTGGAATTGTTCATGTGAGTCAAGAGTCAAAACCTTAATCGTTTATATTGTCTAAAGTTTGTTGAAAGATGAAGGGCTCCACCTAATTGACGCTGGTGTCATTTAGACTATGACCTTTGACCATAGCAGTAACCCTTGGAGCAAAGAACTGAATCCAGATGGCCTCTTAGTCTCTAGAATCTAAGCATTTGAGAACCTTTCAAGTAGTTTTTATGGCAAGATTTAAATCTTGCCATTGTGGGTCACTACCCCCCCCCCCCCAGTATACCTTTCTAGATTCTACTGTGGCTCTGTACAGTTGGAGAGGAGATGAACAGAGAGAGAGAGGACCACCTACCTACTAGCTATCTAGCGCTGTTGGAGCAATGACAGTAAAAAGTGTGGAAGTGGAAATGGGCCTCCACTACCCTGGCTTCAGACTTCACCTTCAGAGGAGAGTGTTGAGAATGGGTCCACTTACCAGACTTTCATGAGGCTTCTTAGTGCCAGTTACAATGCTGTGCACTGATAAAAGATGTGGCTTGTATATTTATGACCTGATATTTCTAGTTGTCTCCATGTCCTCACTATGTTTGATCCCACCATCCTTCACTCTGCCGCAGATGTATGAAATATGCTGTAGTAATGTTATCAAATAGATTTCCTTTGTGAAATTCCTCATGACCTATAGATAAGCCCTGGCAAAACCACAGTTTTCCAGTGTAAAGGTAGCAGCTCCTTTACTTAATGTGTGACTCTCCTGTAGGGCTCTACTCTTAGCCTTTTCTGTTGGCGGTCAGACTTCATGAGAAGATGTCCCTGGCTGTATTTAGCTTTGCGAATAAGAGTCTGTAGATGAATGGCCCACCAATAGAGACTTAGAAATGCTGGAGACCAGCTCCAGCTATAGGTTCAGGTCCGGAGGTGGGGAAGGGGTGCCTGCGCAAATGAAGATACTGGCCACCTGTTGACTTTCAAACAAATGGCCCTGAATAGTTCTAGCCATCTTTATTTATACAGTTAAAGTCCTGCTTGCCTGAGCAGTGACATCATTGGTTATTTTATTAAAAGAAATCATAACATCAGCATTATAAAAGCTCTATTATTACAAAAGGCCCCTAATAGTGTCCCTTCCTCCCTTCCCCCTCCCACCGGGTCAATGACCCCCTAACCTTATTTTACACTACAAAGCACAGTTTTGTAAGCCAAAGTAAGTGTCTAGCCAGGCATGTGCTGTAGACTTGAGCACATAGCCAGCTCATAGCAAATGTGATTACACAGTTATGCAAGGCGAGAGAGAGACAGATGAAACATCTGTGGGTATCAGTCCAATCATCAAATAGCACCCCTTTGTCATAGTACTTTCTTAATTGCAGATAAAGACATGCTCATTATACCAGGAAACCTCTCCTGATATGCACCTATCAGTTCTTGATACCAGCGTTCAAAGAACCATTTTCAAGTCTCTATTGATCAGATATAACCTCCCTATTTTCTAAGTCTCTGGATCAGGAATAGCTTCCTCAGAAGCACAGTTATGCAAACAGGACCCACTGCTCCTCACAGCTGCCCCAGGCTTATTCAGTGTGACTATAGCTGTTTCTCTAGGGACATGATTACATATGCCAAGATACCCAGGATTAGTGGTCACATTTGGAGGATCCACAGAAGCACAGAGAAGAGAGGAGGGTTTTACCCCTCAAAAGAGTATTGAGGAAAACAGAATCATCCATAGGGCTTTCAGCCTGTGTGATCCCAGCCTTGCCCATGACTGACACAGTGAACCTAAATTTCCCTGTACATATACACAACATAGTGGATGCAAGGAGAGCTTGTAGCACATGTGATCTAGGTACTAAGCATAGAGGCCACCAAATTCACCACAGGTCCTTGACAAGGAGAACGGTTCTCCATGGGCCTCGCCACAGTAGAGTCCTGTAAGTGAGGCTCTTATAGGCTGTTCCTGCAGATGCTGCATGGCCACTGCCACAGAGTCAAGGGCAGGTCCGTCAGGCAGCTAGGGTGCAGAGGGCAACGGCTGTGCTTCATGTCTCTTTCTCTTCCAGCGGTCTATTGGGCTTCCTGACGTCCATTCAGGCTATGGGTTTGCCATAGGGAACATGGCTGCATTCGATATGAACGACCCTGAGGCAGTTGTATCCCCAGGTAAGGTCCCTGTCCCCTCTGCGGTGACAGCGTGGCTTCGCTGTATTGTGTGGCCTTTCTGAGACAGTGGGTTTGTGTGCATTTCTAAGTCTCAGCGGATTCTTGAGGCCTTTTTTTCCACATTAAACTTGGTTATGGACAATTGGGCTGTTAAAATATCAGTCAAACCACTTATTGAAAACTTCGGAGACTTTCATCAGATGCCAGACAGTATCAGACTCTGGCTACAAAAGAAACACTTCTCTGACTTCCCTGTGTGCACACCGGAGTGAATGCCTTCTTGTGTATATACCACAGACAAAAAAGGATGTTGAGAAAAGGACATGCACACTGTTGGTGAGACTGGATTAATGGAGCCATTGTAGAGAGCGGTTCATGGAAATTCTTTTAAAAAATTAAAAACTGAAACTTTATATGACTGAGCCATGCCTTTTCTGTGTATCTGTCTAGAGAACTGAAATCATTATTTCAAAATGAAGAAAGGAGATCCTGCCCATTTGGTATAGCATGAGTAAACCCATGAGCAAAATAATCTACACCAAAAAATGACAAATACCACAGCCCACTCACATAGAGAATGGCGGTTGGCAGTGTAGAGGGAGGATGGAGAATGCTGATTTGGGAGATGTTGGCTAAAGGATTCAGATTAAAGTGAATTACAGTCCTGGAAACCTAATGTACAGGATGTTGGGCACAGAAACAGTGAGTACGTACTGTATGCTGGAGAGCTGCTAAGACATCTGGCTTGAGCTCTCCCCAGGGAAAAGGTGTAATTGCATGAGTGATAGATATGCTAACTAGCTTAATTATGTGATCATTTTCATGGTGTGCACACATAATACTTCATATAAAAGTTGTTCCTTGTCAGTTATCTCAATAAAGCTGGGAGACATCGTTTTCAGAAATACTTAAATATAAAGATTTTCAATTACTATTAATCCCACTCTTGGATGCAAATATACTATAGCCCCAAATGTTCAGAATAGGAAAGAAGGGAGGCTGACATATCTTTTCTTTTTTAAAAGTCATATTTATTTCATGTCTATGATGTCTCACCTGCATATTTGTCTATGCACCATGGGTCTTCCCAGCGCCTGGGAACGCCAAAGAGTATGACAGATCCCTTGGGACAGTGAGGTTGTGAGCTACCATGTAGATGTTGGGAGTCAAACTAGGGCCCTGGGAGAACAGCCAGTGCTCTGCTCTTAACCACTGAACCATTTCTCCAGCCGTCTAGAATGTCTTTAAAAGTTGGAGAAAGAACAACAGTTTAAACTAGCATTAAGAAAAAAATAATGAAGATGCACAGAAGGGAAGGTCACCAAAGCCAGAGAGGTTATCTGAGAAGACTCACAGAATTCATCAGAGCCATATTCTCCGCTGTTGGCCAAACACCTTAATGTGTGTGCTCCGTGCATGATTTTAGTGTTTGCAGACTTGACTCAGCAGAAGGCCACTTTGAAGCCTACATTAAAACATGCTTGTCTTTGAAATAATGAGAATCTTTTTTTTTTTTTTTTTTTTTTTGGTTTTTTTGGTTTTTCGAGACAGGGTTTCTCTGTGTAGCCCTGGCTGTCCTGGAACTCACTCTGTAGACCAGGCTGGCCTCGAACTCAGAAATCCACCTGTCTTTGCCTCCCAAGTGCTGGGATTAAAGGCGTGCGCCACCACCGCCCGGCTGAGAATCCTTTTAACTCTGTATTAATACTAAGAAACTTCAAGTAATGCTCTAACTATCTGATTTTGCTAATGTTTGACTTCTGTTTGCTATAGGTGGTGTCGGATTTGATATTAACTGTGGTGTCCGCTTGCTAAGAACCAATTTAGATGAGAGTGATGTACAGCCTGTGAAGGAACAACTTGCCCAAGCTATGTTTGACCACATCCCTGTTGGGGTAGGATCAAAAGGCGTCATTCCAATGAATGCCAAGTAAGAGCACCAGTTCTGGGAAACGGAAAGGGAGGGCAAAACTACACGCTCTGGGCTTTGCTTCCAATTTAGACATTTCTCAGTCACTCCTTAGGAAGTACAAATTAGCTGCTTTTTAAAAGTCTGTCCTAGCCCATGTTCATTAGAACAGTCCTTGTTGGAATACACCTGTAGTCCTAGCCTCTGAGGAGGCTGACATGGTAAGATCATTTTAACTCAAGAGTTCGAAGCCACCCTGGGCAGCATATAAGACCATGTCTAAAATTAAAAAGTAAAGGCATGTGGCTGTAAAGATCATCCAGTGGTTAAGTCCACTGGCTGCTCATCCAGAAGCCCAGGGTTTGAGTCCCAGCACCTATATGGCAGCTCGGGGGATCTGGCACTCTGTTCTGGCTGTGTGGATACTGCATGTATATGGTACACTGTTAATGGTCAGGCAAAACTCCCACATACCTACACCTTAATGAATCAAGAAAAAGAAAAGGCCATCTGTGGTGTCGGATATTTTAGAATAAGAGCACTTAAAGCATAAGGCGCAATGCCTGATGTTTGGTCCAGATGATAACCACTGCTAGGAGAAAGCCAAGCAAGTGACAGAAGCAGTAGTGAATAAGCTTGGAAGTGATGTCAGGCTTCAGACCAAAGACCCTGCCTTTCAGAGAGGCCATGTTCTGAGTACCGTTCAGTGAGCCCATTCATCTCCATCTTCCTGTTGAATCATGGTCCTGGATATGTGCTTTCTTTACTAAGTAGTACAATGACACAAAGCTCAAGTGCTACTGTCTCTTGGGTACCTATGGACAGTGCTACACACTGTTCATACACAACAATACCCTGTACACTTGGCAGAGTATTCACTACATCAAACCTGCTGTGTAGCCAGGCTGGCCTTGAACTCATGGTCCCCCTGCCTTAGCCTCCCAAATACTAGGATTGCATGTCTGCACCACCATGCCTTGTGGTATACTGTACACCGTTACACCTCAAGTACCTTGTGCTCATCAAGTATGAGTCAAAGATGTTCCTTTGACATCTGCGTTGTGTGAACTTTGCATTTTAAGTCTTATGCATATATTAATGCAGAAACACTCTGAACTGTTCTCTTTTCCACATTCCCACCCAAAAGAAAAGAAAAACAGTTGAGGTAAAATTAATTTAGAAGATGCTTATCCTTTGTTTTCATATGATGCCTGTGTTCTACCGTGAAAAGCATACATGTAACAGTGAGTGACGTGAAGCATCTTTACAAATATTTCAGGTAGAAATTTTGTCCTAATTCATATTGTTTATAAAGGATTGTCATTTAGGGTAATGGAAAGGGACTGTTAAAAGCTCAACTCAGTCTGGCTGTGCTTGAGAAGCCTGGAACTTGGGTGATGGTGAAGGATCTTCTAAGCGTTTAATGTTTGTGCCCTTCAGCATCAAAGTGCAGGTGCAGCAAAGCCACACAATAGTTTGGTGAAACCAAACCTTAAAATGAAACCTGTGTTACTTGAGGAAATTCAAGTACCTTCATTATTTGGCTAATTTTTTCATAAATTATTAATAAAGACATTATAAAATCCAGGTAGATAGTAATATCTGATTAAGATTACAGCTTTTATTTGGATATTTAATTGCTCTCAGGGAATTCAGAGTCAGAGGCACAAATGTAATATAAAAAATAATAGTTAAAAAGTGTATCAGAGGGTCTAGTGGTACAGCTCAGTTGATAGAGTGTTTACCTAGTGTCCACAAAAACTAAGCATAGTGCTATACTTGGGAGAGAGAGGCAGTTAAGATCCTCCTTGGCCACAGTGAGTTCAAGACCAGCCTGAACTACATGAGAACCTGTTTTGGTTTGTCTGTTTTTAAGTACAACAGACCATGAAAATAAGTGTAATCATTGTAATAACAGTGTCACAGCTTTAAATGGTAACCATGTGACTGCTTTCTTCACAAAAAAAAAAAAAAAAAAAAAAAACAAAAAACAGAACTAGAGGGCTTAAACTCTAGAACAAAACCTGGTACACAGGAAGTAGTAATTGTCACATATTCCTGTGCTCTTTGAGATGTGTTTTTTCCTAAGTTTTACTGTCTGTTGCTATGAAATGACATGGGTTTCCTTACTCACTCCAGAGACTTGGAGGAGGCATTGGAGATGGGTGTGGACTGGTCCCTGAGAGAAGGCTATGCCTGGGCTGAAGACAAGGAGCACTGTGAGGAGTATGGAAGGATGCTGCAAGCTGACCCCAATAAGGTCTCACCCAGGGCAAAGAAAAGGGGCCTTCCTCAGGTAACTCACTTTGCTGGGTCAGTGTGCTATTTTAGCTTTTGTAGAGGGAAGAAATCTGTACCTTCTATTTAACAAAAAAGTTATCCTTGAAGAATAGTACTGCAAAAAGAACATAAATCTGTTTGCTTATGAATCATTTTTCTGAAAGGTTATGCAGAGCTTTCAAATATTCATTAAAAAAAATTCTTGAGTTACAAGTGGATAGGAGAAAAGTGGTGTCTTAGTCAGGGTTTGTATTCCTGCACAAACATCATGACCAAGAAGCAAGTTGAGGAAAAAAGGGTTTATTCAGTTTACACTTCCACATTGCTATTCATCACCAAAGAAAGTCAGGAATGAAACTCACACAAGGCAGGAAGCAGGAGCTGATGCAGAGGCCATGGAGAGATGTTACTGGCTTGCTCAGCTTGCTTGCTTATAGAACCCAGGACTATCAGCCCAGGGATGGCACCTCCCACAGTGGGCCCTCTCCCCTTGATCACTAATTGAGAAAATGCCTTACTGCTGGATCTCATGGAGGCTTCTTCTCAACTGAAGCTCCTTTCTCTGTGATAACTCCAGCTTGTGTCAAGTTGACACAAAACCAGCCAGTGCAAGTAGGATATGATTATGAGGTCTACAAACTCATAATTTAGATTAAAAACAATGGTTTGAAAAGGATGGAAGTAGTGAGATGCTTGGTGTGTGGGAACACAAGCCTCACAGCTGAGTGCAGTCTCCAGAACTCCCATAACAGTGGAAAGAGAGAACTGATTCCGAAAATGTGAGCCCTGGCCTCTCCATGCATGCTGCTGTACACATGCCCACACATCATACAACAGGAGTCATAGAACAGTCTCTGATTTGGCGAGTGTTTCTGGTACCTAATATGGAAAATGATGTATCAAAAATCATTTCTACCTGGGGCTTATCTGAGAATCAGCATTCTTCCTGGAATTTGGCCCATCTCAGTGGTACTTAAAACTTCTGTATAGAATACATAAAGCATATGATACTCTAGACCTCCTGAGCAGTCCATGTTATTTTTGAAACATGTGGTAATAAGTTTAGAATTTCTTTCATTACACGAGACACTGTATGGCTATTTTGTTGTTGCTTTGGTTTCACCTATTTGCTTTTTAAATGTATGTTTGTTTGTTTGTTTGTTTGTTTGTTTTTAACTAGAATGGAAACTGTTTAATCAGACATTCTTGCATTTACAGTTGGGGACCCTGGGAGCAGGTAACCACTATGCAGAAATCCAGGTTGTAGATGAGATTTTCAATGAGTATGCTGCCAAGAAAATGGGCATCGACCATAAGGGACAGGTGTGTGTGATGATCCACAGTGGAAGCAGAGGCTTGGGCCACCAAGTAGCTACAGGTATATTCTAGACCTGAATTTTTGCTTGGAACTAGAATGTATGTTTTATGGGGAACAAGACAAGAGCGCTAATTGAGCCATAGAAATACATTGGATGGGCTTTTAACTTGTGGCTTTCTAAACTTGTGACCCTGAAAAACTTCTTCATTGGACCTTAACTTTCTCATCTGAAAAAAAAAAAAAAAAGAATATCATTACTTTATCAAGTATGGTTATGGGAGGTGAGTGAAATAACATATACAAAGCATGTAACTGCATGTGGCACTTAGGAAGCACTGGTAGTGCTCGCTGTCTTGGTAGTGCATGGAGCCTGTGATACTCAGCAAGGTTAGGAATCTTGGTGGCTTGTCTTCTCAAATAGGTAGTCATCTCACTCTCTGATGGATGAGATTATGTTCATCAAGAAAAAGATGGGGAAAATAGCTCAGTAAAGTGCAAGGCAAGCCTGGTGATATAAGTTCAATCCCTTAACCCTACAGAAAAAATGCAAGACACAGTGGTGCACACTTGTAATCACAGTGCTGGGGAGGCAGAGACTGGCAAATGCATGGAACTCTGGTCAGCCAGCAGAGCCTGATTGTCAAGCTCCAGGCCAACAAAAGACACCCTCTTTCAAAAAACAAGACACACAAGGAGCAACACTCAAGACTGACCATGAGCATCCACATGAACATTATCCAGACTCTCCACCACCGCTGTCTTAGTCAGGGCTTCCATTGCTGTGAAGAGACACCATGACCAAGACAACTTTTATAAAGGACAGCATTTAGTTGGAGCTGGCTTACAGGTTCTGAGGTCCACCATTATGGTGGGCAGCATGACAGCATCCAGGCAGGCATGGCACTGGAAGAGCTGAGAGTTCTAAGTTTGCTCCAAAGGCAAACAATAGAAGACTGGCTCCCATGTGGCTAGGAGGAAGGTCTCACTACACACCCCATAGTGACACACTTCCTACAACAAGGCCATGCCCCCTAATAGTGCCTCTCCCTGGGCCAAGCATTTTCAAACCACAACCACCAAAGATAAAAAAATAGTAATTGATAAAATAGTGTAAGACAGGCAACATAAATTTAATGTGTTTAAAAAAATATTTTGAGATAGATTCATAGACAAGACTCAGAGCTAGGCCTTGGGGTTTGTGTTGTAACATAGAAGACATTCAGGAAACAAGTAACAAGAGCACAAGCAAGGAGCAGGGAAATAGGTGTGTAAATGACTTACAGGGATTAGTGAAGTGTGAGACAGTGTGCACACTTGGAAACTGTAAACATGAATTTCATGGTGTTATTAAGCCTTGCAATTTGACTTTATCCTGTAAGGCTCGATCATTTGTGGCAGCCTGACCCTTTACTTTAATGGAACAGATACATAAAGTGGCTTTTGGAGCGACTCCCACATTTACTGTTGAGGCACTAAACATTATATTTACGATGTGTTGTTCCACACACAATGATCTTGTCATTCAAGGAACTGAGCAGAAGGGTCACAGGTCTGAAGTGGCCGGAACAGTGTAGTTAGTTGGAAGATAAATGAGTTACAAAGTGAGACCCTGTCTTTAGAAAGAAACAAAAAATTTATTTAAAAACCATGATGGTAACAAAATATATGCTCTACTCATTCACTCCCATGTTGAGAGGGAGTGACTAAAGCTGTGTTGCTGGTGTACATGTCCCAGGTCACGTTTCTAAAGGCAGATGCTCACCATGTCTCACATTCCTATGTCACCATACTTAGAAGATTCTCAAATACCTTTTTATAAAAGTTAACTTAAAGGCATTATGTGTGTGTGTGTGTGTGTGTGTAAGTAAGTAAGTAAGTGCCTGCTTGTCTGTATGTGCACAGTGCGTATGGAGTCCAGATGAGGGTTTGGATTCCCCGGAACTGGAGTGAACAGACAATCGTGAGCCACCATGTAGATGAACCCAGGCCATCTGCAAAGAGTGTCCAGTGCTGTTAACTGCTGGCCTATCTTTCCAGCCCCAGATATATCTTAACTGAGCAAGTAGATGAATGCAGAAGCATACTTAGGGTTTTGTTTTGAATTTGAATGTTCACTTCTTTCTACTGTAAATCTGAATGATTCATGTAAGAGAAACCTGTCTGGTCTGACCTATGATTCTGTTGCAGATGCACTGGTAGCTATGGAGAAGGCCATGAAGAGAGACAAGATTATAGTCAATGACCGGCAGTTGGCATGTGCTCGGATCGCATCCCCAGAGGGACAAGATTATCTAAAGGGAATGGCTGCAGCTGGAAACTATGCCTGGGTTAACCGCTCTTCTATGACCTTTTTAACCCGTCAGGTAAAGTAAAATTGCTCTCTTAAGTTAATCAGGAAGTTAAGCATGGTTGGTTTTAGAAATGTGCATCCTAGATACTAGGAAAGTGTCTTAGGGTTTTGGTGTCTTTGGCCAGGAGAGTACAGCCAGAATGACCTAATTTTGCCTTGAGCCTCAGCAAGAATGGAAATGCTATTCTCTGTGATTGAGAAGGCTGGGCAAGAATTGTCTGCAGGCAACATCCAGAGCAGTGAGCAGCCTTTCTGCCTGAGGTGGACTCTGTAGCAAGCACCATGGTCTAAAGGGCAGTCTGTGCTTCATATGAAGATTAGTGACTGTCTACCATTCACTAGCTGACAGCAGTGAAATATGTTCTCAAGAGCTAGAACTGGCTGCTTGTAATGGAAGCTTTGCCCCTAGGCTTTTGCCAAAGTCTTCAACACAACCCCTGACGACCTGGACCTGCATGTGATTTATGATGTTTCCCATAATATCGCCAAAGTGGAGCAGCACGTGGTAGATGGAAAGGAGCGGACGCTGTTGGTGCACAGGAAGGGATCCACCCGTGCTTTCCCTCCTCACCACCCCCTCATTGCTGTGGATTACCAAGTATGTGACCCTGCGTTTGTGTTGGAGCAGTGAGGTCAGGAACTAGAGATTTCTAGACACAGATTCAGTAAAGCAGGCAAACAAGTATAAAGAAAAACTCCTGTCCCCTGTGACAGCAGTGCTTCCTGGTCTCTGCACCAATGACCCATCCCATAGTGAGTGCTGTCTTAGTGCTACACTAGGTATGCTTTGCTCCCCTGAGCCAAGTGTGGCCTGGAGGTTATTGTAAGGCAGACAGAGGTTAAACTGCAGTGTTTCTTTCCTTTACTCTTATGGTTTAGCAGATAAGGAAACAGAAGTCCAGAGAGGGCAGGTGCCTTGCATGGATGAAAATCCTAAAGATACTTTCCTACAATTTCATTATTTTCTGTACCACATTCTATCTGTTGCAGGCTCTTATAGCTTCCTTCTCGTTCTTTTCCCAAGGAGCCAAAAATCCAAACTAATGCCTTATTATAGTTACAAAAGCATTGAGTTTAGAGATTTAGGTTTCTCCTACAATTGTACAACACAAGAAATTTCAGGCATAAAAAGCATCTGCCTTTCTAAAATTTAATGTTGGTTTTGTGTGCCCTCAGCTCACTGGACAACCAGTGCTTATTGGTGGCACCATGGGGACCTGTAGTTATGTTCTGACTGGCACTGAACAAGGCATGACTGAGACCTTTGGAACAACCTGTCATGGAGCGGTAAGGAGATTGAAAACTTGCTTAGAAATGTTCCATCCGTTTAGCTATTGTGCATCTTGACAGGTAAATAAATACCTGACTAAGTTTAGCACGGTTTGAGTGTGTCTTGACTACTTCTTGCAAACTATTCTGTTTATATACTAGTTAGAGAACTGACTGTAGAACCAAATTCATCCTCATCTTTAAGTCCAGAAAATCCAAACTGGACAATGACCAAAGTAAATGAGTTTATTGCAGCTGTCTTATAAATGGCATAAGTAACTGCTGCACCACGCTGAGCTCGTGGCCCTGGTCAGCAAGCCATTGGACCTGTTCATTTGTCTAGTTGTTCCTTTCTCTTTGACAGTCCACTTCAGATTTGGGGGGTATGCATGCTCTGCAGACCAGCACCGGTCTGTTTGCGTGTGTTGCCTCACGTCTTTAAGCCACCTACCAGTGAACTGTCTGTAGAGCAGGAGGCTCTGGGGCTATACAGTCATCCTGCCACAGTCAGCTGTGCCATTGTAGGACAGGAGGAACCATAGTGCCGTGTAAATAGCCATTGGTGTGTTTGGAAGCATTGTACTTACAGCATAGGTGGTTGGCTAAACTATCAAAGTGCTTAGTCAGTGTTAGAAGGAAAAGTAAAAACCATCTAGATTACCTTCTCAAATACATCTTAATATGCTTTTCCCTTCTAATCACTCCTCATTTCCAGCTATCTGCCCTCCTAGCTGTCATCCACTGCATCTTAACAGTGTGAGCTCCCTACTTCTCTAGAGGCATGGACAGCATCTGGATTCATAATCTGAGATCATGGTTGGGAAGGGTGTTACCTGTATCTAGTGGTAGAAGCCACAAGGCTGCTAAACAGCTCAGGAATCACAGGGCTGCGCATGATGGTTATATAATTCAAAATGTCATTGCTAAGGTAGAGAAACATTTAAATCACAAAAAGCTGTGTATAATGAAAAATTAACATTTATATTGAAGTATAGTCAATGGTATTTAGAAGCATACAAAATAAATCTTTAAATAAAAAATGCTTTAGGTAGAAATTTATTTTCAAAAAGTGTGTTGAGGCTTCCTAATAAAACGAAGATGATAAGGTTAAAGTAGAAAAGACAGGTTGGTTTGTCTGTGTGGTTTTTCATGATGTGTGTGCATGCGTGTAGTCCGGAGTCCAGCTCTGGTTGTCTTCTTGTATCACTCTTCACCTTATTTTGTGAAACAGGGCTTCTCACTGAAGCTGGTGCTCACTGATAGCTAGACTGGCTGGCTAGCAAGCCCTTGGGATCCTCCCGGCTCAGCTTCCCCAGCGCTGGTCTGACAGGCTTGTATAGCTATTCCTAGCTTTTATGTGAGAGCCAAACTCAGGTTTTCATGCTTGTCTAGCAAGCGCTTTATCTACTGAACTATTTCCATAGCCCAGGTCATTTTGTTTGTTCTTTTAACTTTTTATACTTTATTTTATTCTTTGGTGTCATGTGGGTATGTCAGAGGGCTGGGGGTATAATGTGACATAGCATACACATGGAAGTCAGGACAAAACTGTAGCATTGAGATCTTGCCTTCAATGTTACGGGTTCCAGAGATTAAACTTGGGGGGTCAGTGTTGACAGCACGCACCTTTACACACCTCTCCAGCTCAGTAGCCTGTCAGGTTAGGTGAGTGGGTGGGTGGTTGGTTGGTTTTAGTATAAGATAAAAGGAAAAATCAAGCCTCGTATAGTGATATGCGCCTGTAATCTTAGCTGCTCAGAAGACTGATGCAGGAGAAGTACAAGCTCAGGGCCTGCCTGGACCTTGTCAACAGCATAGCAAGTCTTAGTTCAGAAGTGAACAAATAAGGCAGGTGAGATCATTCAGAGGGTAAAGTTCTTCCTGCAAGCCTGATAATCCTAGTTCCAGCCCTGGTGCCCCGAATGTGTAATCCCAGCGCTCCTACAGCAAGATGGGATGGCTAGAGATTCACCAGAATCTCACACACCAGCTGTCCTGGAGTTCACAGCAGCGGCAAAAACTAGAGACCCTGCCTCAACCAGGTGGAAGGAGAGAGCCCACTTCTGACCTCCACACACATGCCGTGGCCTTTGTACATACATGTGCTCACATACACACACATGCTGTGGCCTTTGTACATACATGTGCTCACATACACACACATGCTATGGCCTTTGTACATACATGTGCTCATATACACACACATGCCATGGCCTTTGTGCATACATGTGCTCATATACACACACATGCCATGGCCTTTGTACATACATGTGCTCACATACACACACACTAACAGTAAATGGGGAAATGAGTAAGTACATAGTAGAATGTGATCGTGGTGAGAATTTCATAATCAAGGAAAAGACAGAATTCCAAGGGCTTAAACAACTACAGGAGTCAAAGAAGCTTTAGTTCGAAATGCATAAACTGGTTTACTCCTGTCCTTGCTCCTTTCTCATTCTAGGGCCGTGCCTTGTCCAGAGCAAAATCACGTCGTAATTTAGATTTCCAAGATGTCTTAGATAAACTGGCAGATATGGGAATCGCAATCCGGGTTGCTTCACCCAAGCTGGTTATGGAAGAGGTGAGTGACGTCCTGAAAGTATTTAACAGAAAGAAAGCCTTAAGATTTATGGCTGTGGGCAGAGACTGGAGTTGTTGGTTTTACAGAAATGAGGTAGGTTGTCAGTGACTTCAGTTTGCCGTTTGGGGTTTTGTATTTTGTTTTTTCACTTTTTCCTGTTTTGAGAATTCCATCGACAGATATTTTTGTCGTGCCCTCACCCTCATTCTTGCGGTTCCTCCTTATTACGCTCCCCACCACTCACTGTCCCAGAGGAGGCCAACCCTAGCCTACTCTGGCCTGGAAACAATCCTCAGGCTCCTGTATGCGAGGATCACAAGTGTGAGCTACAGCTCCTGGTTCTGATTTTGGTTTATCTCATTTTATTTTATATTGTCCTTTGTTTGGAGACTTTTGCCAGCTAAATCGATTAAAATGGTTTTTACTCTTCATATAGTTTGTATCTACATTATAATGTTTAAAAGTAGGTTGTAAGGACCAGCATGGTGACCTGAATTTAATCCCAGGTCCCATATGGTTGAAGGAGAAAACTTATTCTTCCAAATTGTCTCCAACCTCCACATGTGCACTGTGCATGTGACACACACACAGGCAGTACAATTCAGGGGTTTAAAAAGAAAAAGCTTGTGTGTGTGTGTGTGTGTGTCTCCCCGTGTAGCCCTGGCTGTCCTGGAACTCACTCTGTAGACCAGGCTGGCCTCAGACTCAGAGAATTACCTCCCTTTCCCTCAGCTTCCTGAGTGCTGGGACTAAAGGTGTATGCCAACACCATCTGCAATTGTGAAAACTTAGAAGAAATAAGTAGAAGTAGTTTAGGATGACCCATTGTAACCTGATTTTGCACAGTTGTATGCTTACATTTCAGTTTAAGACAAATTTGAAAAAGGAGAAAGACATGTTTAGAGAGAAACTATTTGTGTTTAGTTCACAGAGAGGAAAAATTGTATTTAAATGATCTGCATGAACTTAAGAGAAACCCAGTTATCCAACCCCTCCTGCATTTTGAAGAGCACTTACACCTGAAGTTGTCAATTTTTCTTTGTCCTTTTCAGACTGCAGCTCCTTCTAAAGCTCTTGGTGCCACTCTACTCTGTGCTATCAGATGAGCGGCTTGGCTTCTGGTCGTAGTGGACGTTCACATTGCTTCCCTTTCTTTCCTGCTATAAATTGTGATGTAAAGGCATAGTCATTCTTGAAGCTTTTGATAAGTAGAAGTCTCAGATAGAATTACTGGGTCAAGAATGGGTTTCTTTTACTTGTTTTTTGTTTGTGTTTCTTTTTTTTTTCCCCAGAGCTGAGGACTTGCCAGACAAGCGCTCTACCACTGAGCTAAATTTCCAACCCCTCGTTTGTTTTTGTTGTAACTTAATTTTTACATGTTTTGAGCAGTAATTTGAGGTTAGGGGCTGGAGCCATGGCTCAGCTGTCGAGAGCACTTGTTGCTCTCAGAGGACCTGGGTTCAAATTCCCAGCAGCCACATGGTTTTTCACATCTATTTATAACTCCAGTTCAATTAACTCTGCCCTCTACAGGCACCAGACAGACAAAACATACAGAACACTCCTACACATAAGTAAATCTAAAATATAATCACAGTCTAAAAGGTAACTGTTTAAGTGAAACAGTGTGGGAAAACATGAAGAATAATGGGTGTGTGGAGGCCAGAAGACAACTTAGTGGCATCAGATCTCTCCTACTTAAATGAGTTCTGGGGATCAGAGCTGGGTCCTCTGACTGGGCTGGCATGCTGCGTCCTTCTTCTCTGCTGGTCGTACCGAGAGCGTCCATATAGGTGCTCCACAGTCTGTGTTCTCTTTCACTGGACCTGAAGGGAAACAGCAGGGTCTGGGACAAATGCTGTGGTTCCCAGTCTCCTCTCTGGGCACCTGTGTACCGCTGGGAGTCAGGATCTTTCCCTCGGGGTGTCTGCGTGACAGGCAGAGAGGGGAAGCAGATCCCCCAGTCTGTAGGGGAGTAAGAGCTGAGTATACCACCCATGGGAGTGGAAGAGGAGAAGGCCTTTCTCCGCCGCTCATTTTAAGATGAAGGCCTTCCCTGTTGTGTTCCTTACTGAAGAGACAATCTTGCTTGTTCATACTTGTTTATTTGATGGTGGTTGTGAATACATATCTTTTATTCAGGGTGAACCAGGAATTAAATAACCTTTGTGGGAAGGAATACCCAGGAAAGGAAGCTCATTGGCTGAAGGCTTGGAGCTGTCTTAGCTACCTAACTAGCATTGAGAAAAACTCCGGGTGTTTATGCTATGTGACCCAATGCTGGTGGTTCTCAGTGGGTTGTTATGGCTATGTGTTCCAGAGCAGGTAGAGGCAGGCAGGGAATGGCTCCACTCCTGCCGTTCTGAGATTCCATGGTTTGAGCTCATTCAACCTTACCATTCCTTATGCCTGTATGGTACCAAGATCCCACATGCCCTACACTGGCCCCTGCTTTTAAATATAAAATAATATGTATGTTTTTGCAGAAATTAGAAAATGCAGATGAGGGCTAGAGAAATGGCTTAGTGGTTGAGAACACTGACTGCTCTTCAGAGGTCCTGAGTTCAATTCCCAGCAACCATATGGTGGCTCACAACCATCTGTAATGGGATCTGATGCCTTCTTCTAATGTGTCTGAAGAGAGTGACAGTGTACTCATGTACATAAAATAAATAAATATTTTAAAAAAAGAAAGAAAATGCAGATGAAAATGTAAAACCAAGTATTTATCTTATACCCCTTTGCAGCACTGAGTTTACTGATGTTTTTAACCTTTGCTAATTTTTTTTTTTTTCAAGACAGGGTTTCTCTGTGTATTCCTGGCTGTCCTGGAAACTCAGACTGGCCTCAAACTCACAGATCCACCTGCCTCTGCCTCCCAAGTGCTGGGATTAAAGGTGTAAGCCACCACACTGGGCTAACTTTTGCTAATTTAATGGGCAAAAATAGCAGCTGAGTATTTATTTCAAATAAAGCTTAATAGTTTGAAAGATTTCCTCTTAGTGGATTTCACAGTGTTCAATTCCTTCCCTGTAGGCTCCAGAGTCCTATAAGAATGTGACAGACGTCGTGAACACCTGCCATGATGCTGGGATCAGCAAGAAGGCCATTAAACTGAGACCAATTGCGGTTATTAAAGGATAGATCCAAGACTCTCAATCTCAGAGGTGCCCATGGACTGAACTTCCTAAGACATCAAACTCCATTGCAGAGCTGTTGCTGTGCATGCCACAATGGCTGCTGGAGAGGCTGCTGTCACAGGGGTGGACAATAGCCTTCCAGGAGACATGTGTCTCCAGTGGGAGCAGGGCAAATGAGCCTCTTCCTCCTTTGTTCCACAGGCTGTTGTGACTGTCTACTGGGGTGTGGGTAGGGGTCAGGAAATGCCCTACTTGGTCATACAAGTCTGTAATCACCAGAGTGGACTTCTTTACACCACGCTCTGTTTCTAGCCCAGAAGGTATCATGGAAAACATTCTATTAAATAGGTTTTTGAATGTTTCCTTTCTTCTCTTCCTGTGTCAGTTTTGTCCATCTGTGGAGCTCCTCTACAACAAGCAAACTCAGATTCCCTTCTCATGGAAAGCATCAAGCACCCAAAGTGTTTTAATCAAGATACTAGACAAGAGCACAGTGGGGTATGTTGAGGAGGGCATATGGTATGCTGAGGAATAGGGCAAAGGAGAAAAGAACTTGCCACAGCCTTCCTGTCTTTCTTACCCTAAATATAAGACAGAGTATCTGCAGTGTGGAGCCAGCTGATGACTCACTAGTGAGGCTGGCCTGGCCAGCTTTGAGTAATGCCAAAGCATTACTTAAGCACAGTGACACCACATTTACATTTTTATGTAACTATTATAAACACACTAAATGACCACAGCTGGCAATACTAACCGTTGCTTTGTGTGGAGGATATCTTTTGTTATCTCATGAAATCTTGTGTTGTAGATGGTAACATCTTAAAGAAGCTTGCTTTCCATTGTGTCAGGGAAGGCATTAGTAGCCAGAGCTGGAGGCAGCTGGTCACATTGCCTTGCATTCGGGAAGCAGAGATGAATCCTGGTGCCCAGTTCATGTTCTTGTTCAGTTGCAGCACATGGAGTGGGTCATCCACATTCAGGCTGGGGCTTCCCATCTCAGCCCAATCTAGACACTCCCTCACAACATACTCATGTTGTCTCCTAGGTAATTCTAGATCAAGTAGGCTATGCTAATGGTCACAAATGAGAAGGCTGCGCATTTTCAGTCAGACACTTTATTTAATGCATACACATGGTTGGGAGGTCAAAGGACAACTTGCAAATATCAATCCTCTTCCTATGTGGGTTTCGGGGATCAAACTCATGTTGTCAGGCTTGGTAGCAAGTGACTAGTACCCACTGGGCCATCTAGCCAGTTTTAGTGTCATTGTTGATTTCTGTCTCCCCGACCCTCACCTACATCTTGTCAGTTCTAATTCCTGGACATCTGTAGTCTCTCACTCTTTGTTTAAATCCCTATCTCATTCTTTAGATACTTACTAGCTCTCAAAATACAGCAGCCACATGCATCCTTTTTCCTTCTGATAACAACTGCTTCTTGGAGAGCCAATACCCCATTCCAACTTTCAGTTTGTGTGGGTGAGCTAACCACACACAGGCTCACACCAGAACACACAAATCACTTCTTCCAGTTCCTGACTTGAAGTGGCACATGAATCCTGGAAGTTCTTGCTCAAGAGCAAGGTGCTGTCTTCCCCCAGGGTTGCTAGGATAGTATAATAAAGATCTGTTAACACCTATTAACAGCCACCTTGTTACAAAACCTCCCTGAGAATGGAACCCACATGAAGGGAAGAGAAAGCATGAATCCAGTGCATGATATGGGAACTCCTGGACTCATCTGTGCCAGAAATCAGGAAAGACCTGGACTTAGTATGTATGTGAGAAGGGACCATCAGTGTAATACTGGCCTATTTGAAGTATAGAAGGATCACTGATGTTGCTGGAATTTCCAACCTCAATAAAAAAACACACAATTCAGTTACTATAATTATAAGCTATATGCCTAGATTGGGCAGATCTAACACTATACTAACTTACTCCCCAGCTATAAGACCCTTTGCTAACTTGTGGTTTCTCCTGGCCATGTGGATTGAGGGTTCATCTTCCTCCGTCCTTCTCCTTCCTTCCCACCTCACTCTTTTCTCCTCTCTCCCTGCTCCCACTCTCAAACCTCCAGTCCCACCTTTCCCTTCCACTGCCCAATCACAGGCTCTAGCCTTTATTGATCAGTTAAAATGGGGAGAAGGGTCACATGAGGTCACCTGAATACATGATGGACTGCTCATTGGGCAACCCCTCCTGAGGAAGCAGAGTTAACATTAGAATACAAGCATCAGGCCAACCCACAACATTTCCCCTTCTGTCCAATTAAAAAGCTCGCTCTTTATTGTAACAAACAATACATAGTACCAACTATTTTGAAGCAATTATAAAAATTATTAAGTATGAATTACATTTATAACATCCAGTTCATTATACTTGGCAACCACCTATCCTAACTACAAGAGTTTACAATTCTGTACCTCAATCATGTTTGATTTTAACTTTTATTACCATCTGAAAAAACCACCCTTTCAAACCCAGAATATCATCTTAATGTTAAACAACTTAACTGCAGTTGTGAGACTAACTAGTCTTTAACTCCATCAAAGATCTGAGAAGGAATTAAATATTACCTAAATATGTAGGCTGCACAAAGACATAGCTTGCAAAATTTATACAATTGGCAGAAACAGCTGACACCCTGGACAGTTGTTGCATCTGTCTTAATCCTTCTGGCCCAGAACCATCTGACAGACCTTAAGTGAATTGGACTGGCTTACTCTGTCTTGGCAGAGCTTAGAAGTCGGCTATCCTGTATCCATTTGTCTTTTGGGGGGCAGTATTTTGTCTAGAGATGAAGCTGGGACATCTCTTGCCCAGTAGCTAGCTTGTCACAATTGAAGCAATTCTGCCTGGAGGTCATGATACTCAGTATCTTCCTTGAAGTGAAATGTCAGGAGCAGGCATGTCTCATACTCAGAAGATCTTCTAATAATGAAATAACATTAGGTGCCATATTCTGTGGATCTCTAATGCTTTTGAAGACCATCTATCTATATATAGCATAATTGAATTGTTAAACATTGATTATTCTTAGCTATTCACTATTTGAATAATCTTGAGAACATTTTGTTATAAGTAACTAAATCAGAATCTAATTTGATCATGAGTTCCACTGACTATTAACTTACATTACTTAATCATCCTGAACAGTTATTAAAAGGATTGGGTCTCAGGCTTGTATTAAATGACCTGCATAGGCACGAGACTACCTGAGAGTAACAAAATTAATTTAAAATTTTGTATCAATATACAACAAGACTGCAATGCTTGTGGGTTGGTAAGGGACGAGGAGATGAACCACTCTGGACATAGTTTCTGGGAAAACATCTGCTTTATTGAGCATCTCAATGAACATCTCATTGGGCAACCCCTCCTGAGGAAGCAGAGTTCAAGCATCAGGCCTACCCACAACATTTCCCCATTTCCGTCCAGTTAAAAAGCTCACTTTTTATTGTAACAAACAATACATAGTACCAACTATGTTGAAGCAATTATAAAAATTATTAAGTATGTATTACATTTATTGAGATGCATGTGAGCAACCACTTATATAGTGGAAGCCTAGTGACTGATTGGTTAGCACATTCCCTCAGATTAGACAGTGAGCACGCACACTGCTGCCTGAGTCTCTGTGTGGAAGAAGCACAAGGAGGTATGGAAAGTGCAGACACGTCAGCAGCTCACTACTTTACTCACAACTTCAGAATCCAGCGTTCTGACTTCCGGGAGAGCATGCTATGTCATGCTTCTTACTTAGAAACACAGTATGCCAAGTAGGCTGACCACCGGCTCATGCCTATATTTTCTTCTACATTCTCTGATAGTTTCTAGTCTTATATTGATCTGATCTTTCTTTGCTATGCTCTCATTCTTCCCTGCTGGGATGGGAAAATTTATTCTGTGGCACTGTATATTGATCATTTATAATTTATTTTATTGCTGTTCAGTTAAGAGATTGTCTTGAATCTCAAAAAAGCCTGGGCCTTCCAAACAAAGTTGGAATTGTTAAGCACTATTGGAACTTTAAATATGGACTGAATGTATTTGTGTCCAGAGATAAGGACAAGAGATGGTTTTAAGTGATGTGCTTGGGTGTCAAGTTGACAAGGAATATAGACTAAAAAGCCTTTGGGCACACCTATGAGAGATCAATTAAGGCCACTGTCATTCCACAGGCTGGGAACTAGGACTGAAAGAAAAGCAGAGAGTGAGCTGATCACTCAGAGCTCTGTTTCTTGAATGTATATGTGGTATAACATACTCTTGCCTTCACCACCATGATGGAAAGTACACTTGAATTGGGAGCCAAAGTAACTCTCCCTCAGGTCCCAAGGTATTCTTTCATAGAGACAGGGAAAGTAATTCAGCGAGACTCATCATTATCAAGCTAGTTTGATTTGGAGAATGGGGTGCCCATGTCATGCATACTCAAGTAAGGCTGATTTTAAAATAATGGACCAATTTATTTTCCAGAAAAAAAATTCAAAGTAGTGCAATATTCAGGTAGTATCATAGCTATTCACAGAATTACCAAGACTCACAGTGACATGAAAAATGAGTGGTTTGGAGAAGATAATGCTGGACCTGATTCAAATTGCAAGCAGAACTGTGCAGCTTGATGAGGGAGGAAGTGTGAAGCCAGTTAAATTGAAGGTCAAGGCAGGCTCAAAGTGATTGTAATTGTTAAAGACCTTAGCGTCACAGGGGCTTGGCTTTGAGGTTTTAGAAGCTCAAGCCAGGCCTAGTGTCACTCTCTCTTCCTGGTCTCTTCTGATCAAGATGTACAACTCTCAACGACTACTCCAGTACCATGTCTACCTGCATGCTGCCATACTTCTATTTATGACTGAACCTCTGAACCTGTAAACCAGTCCCAATGAAATGTTGTCCTTTATAAGAGGTCATGTGGCCAGTGGTCATGGAGTCTCTTCACAGCAGTAAAACCCTAACTAAACCAGAAGTTGGTACCCAGGACTGGGGTATTTCTGTGACAGGCCTGACCAAGATTTTGTTTGGAGGAATGTGGACCTCATGGAGGCATTTCCTCAACTGAGGCTCCTTCCTCTCTGGTGACTCTAGCGAGTGTCAAGTTGACACTGAAAACTAACCAGTACAAAGGGTTACAATTAAAGGGTTATCACAAGTCTCTGAAGAGATTTTGGATTTCTAAATAAGGTTGAGACTGTTACAGACTATGCGGACTTTTGAAATTGGACTAAATGCACTTTGCGTTATGATATGACTACAAGTCTACAGGGGCCAGGGAGTGGAATGTGGCAGTTTAAACGAAAATGGCCCCCATAGAATCATAGTGTGTGGTATTATTGGAGGTATGGTGTTGTTGGAGTAGGTGTGGC